TATATATATATTACATATATAAAACGTTACTATCATATCTACTATTTGGCGTGTTGAGTCTGTCCAGACTCCTCATACATCACAAACACAAACGATAAATAAATTGGTTTATATCTACCCTCTAACCCACACATACATACATTGTGTAGTCCACCCAGTTGTCTACGTTGTATCTCAACGACTGTACACTCGCCTTAGCTTCGTTGTACCCATTGCGTACCCCTTCGCGCACCACGGTCACTGCCTCTTGCATTCGATTCTTCGTGTTCTTCATCCAGCTCGCAGTCTCGTCCTCGACACTAAATAGACACGTGTGGAAATAAGCGAATCGTGATACGTTAATAACTGCACTAATATCACACGTGTGGAAATAAGCGAATCTTGATACGTTAATAGAAGTGGTTGAGTGGTTAAGAGTTGACAGCCTCGCGGGAAATGCACACGTGTGGATGTAAGCCAAGTGAGACACTCTTATAACTGCATTATTATCACACGTGTGGAAATAAGCAAATCGTGATACGTTAACAACTGCACTAATATCACACGTGTGGATATAAATGAATCGTGATACGTTAATACCTGCACTAATATCACACGTGGGGAAATAAGCGAATCGTGATACGTTAATATATGCACTAATATCACACGTGTGGAAATAAGCAAATTGTGATACGTTAACAACTGCACTAATATCACACGTTTGGAAATAAGCAAATCGTGATACGTTAATAACTGCACTTATATCACACGTGTGGAAATAAACGAATCTTGATACGTTAATAGAAGTGGTTGAGCGGTTGAGAGTTGACAGCCTCGACGGTAAATTCACACGTGTGGATATAAGCCAAGTGAGAAACTTTTATAACTGCACTATTATCACACATGTGGAAATTAGATGCGGTAGAGTGTTTGAGAATAATCAGTCTCAACTCTAAATAGACACGTGTGGAAATAAGCCTGATGAGTGGTATGGACTAATATCAACCTTGAGACTTAAGGTTACATGAGAGTTGATGTATAAGGTAATCACTCCGTAGCCCAATCTCCTGTACACTACAATAAACATGTGTGGAAATAATCGAAGTGCGGTACTTTAATAACTATCCTCCTTGCCGCTTATATCACATGTGTGAAGCGTGGCGAATATATCACTATAGTCCATAGAGCTAAGTTGTTGGCATCGTATCCTCGACACTATTTTCACACGTGTGGAACTAAGCCGGGCGGCGCCCATACGCATACTCCACTACCTATCAACACACACGCATGCATGTGCTCTCCTTATGTACACATACACACATTGCACACATACCCTTCAGTGTCACGTGTCAGCATCTCGTAGAAACTATGTTGGAAGACGCGCGCCAGGTTTAGGATGTACGTTATACCCAGCACACCAGTCAATGTAGCAGGAATGAACAGTGTGTATTCCTGGGGGTGTACATGTGTGTGTACAAGGAAAGGTGTATGGGTGG